AATTCTTCCTCGGTCTAACTTGTTTTCGGCGACTGTTCATATCAGACGTATAATCATAAATATTTGGACTATGACCTTATAAAAGCTATTATAGACAAGAAAAGTTATTAGTTCAGGTTCGCGTAATGATTTTATGACAACATATTGACTCTACAGTAGCCACTGAGTTAATCTACGGTACGAGTTTTATGGCTAGTTCCATCAACAAAAGTTTGATAAGTTTCATAAACCTTACTTGTATATGCCAGACTATACAAATGGAGCATTTTCGAGGATAAAAATTTTAGGATTTTGATAAAATTTGCAAGAATTAAATTAATATCTAGTTTACCAAGTGATTGAATAATATTTCTTCCCTGAGAAATAGATCTACTATCGTACAGCACTGTAAAACTCTCCAACTGAAGAGCACGGTTCTAACCAAATCAAATGTACCGGATTGGAAATAGGTGTGCGATAGATTAATTGTATATTATTTAGTCTTTATGCTCCAGTAACAGTTGTAATGGTATTGCACTCCACTCACACTAGCACCACTACTGTAGATTAGAATGTGATAAGTACTACGGTAGGATAATTTTCGGTTTCATTTATCTTTATTGTATAATGCCGCAAGTACTTATAATATAAGCAAAAAAATTCAATGCATGATGCTTTCTACTTCCGTATAGGCCGAGCAGTGCAAAACATGGCACGCTAACTCAATTTTTAGAGCAAAAATTAATTTCTATTGCTAATATATTAATTTAATTGCTAACAGAAACATGATTCATTTTATTCACTCGTAATAGAGTAATAGACTAAAATGCGTAACTAAAGCCAAACGGGAGTTTAAGATAATCTATCCATATACTATGTAGTGGACAGCTTAGTAGAAATATTATATTTTGTACCATACAATTCGCTGATATCCCATAGTACACACAGCATCGAATACTGATTTGTATCATCCGCTTTCGACCTAATTTCTGTTAAAATCTGTAATAGGCAGGTAACGTAGTCCCCTAATCGATTAAAATTGTAGATTAGTTTGTTAAATCATGGAAAGTGTCGAATCGTGACAGATATTTCCAGTATCGATACCTATTCCTAATTATACTTTTGCGCATGGGTACTTAAATTAATTTATATAACAAAGTTAAGTTTTACAAACTATTAAAAGCGTTTGCTATATTATGCTGAGACTATTTTACTACTTGATAAAGATAAAATTACGATAATCGTTTCGATGTTAAAAATTGTGTAAAATATTGAAATAAGAAAAATAACATCGATTAGCTTCATATTTTTTAATGCTTAAAATGAAATCCAATCATGCTATAATTTTCAGCGTTTAGTAAAGTACTTGTATTTCATTGTAAGAAAGACTTAATCATATGTTATAAGACAAGTTATGGCATTTCAAAACTATGGAGCACAAATTTAATGTCGTAAAAGTCGATCAATTAATTATAAGCAAATTTCACATCCAATAAATCTCAGATTCATAAATCATCTCTTTCCTCTTTCAATTTAATTTAATAATATTATTACATGATATTGTAGTTGTATTATATACTATGGTTAAACATTTATAGCATCAAGCATTACGAGGTAGATGAACAACTACTAATAATACTGCTGAATACAAAATTAGCAAAGTCGAAGTAGAGCAGATTCGTATTATCAAGATCCTATTACTAAGAGGGAATACGGCTATACCGACTAATAAAATTTCACAACTCACCTACACAAACTTAATGACTGGACTAATTGTTATGAAGGCTACTTTAAATAAAAGTCAAGACAGTTTACAGTACCACGTACTTTATTACAGTAATAATTCTTGATTCCAGGGGTTCAGTTAACGAAGAGAAATGAAAATTGAGGGAGAATCATTTTATTAGCAATAGGTGGTAAGAGATAATCATGAATGAAGAATATCTAGTAGTTCATACAAGGGTATGCGACAATTACGAGCATGATTTGAGCTACTGTTAATCTAGCCTACGAAAGTGTTAGGAATGAGCTAGAGTTGTAAGATATTAATAACAAATTTATCATGTTTTAGAAGCACACAATTATAAGTGGATAACAATAAACTCTCTTAGAACTGGTCGACAAGGATAACGTAAAACAAATCTCTAAATTACTATAGTCTCCGGGATTCAGTATCCCTTAACTACCTCACAAGAATTTAGACGCCTTTA